AAATCCTTTGAGTACAATCTCGCCACAGTTACTGACCACCTCGTTCTCGGTAGTCACTACGGCTGGAGCTACGACACGCCAAAAAGTAGCAAAGAAGGCGACTGAGGACACGAACGCACCACCTAGGTCCACCTCACCGATCAGCCACAATCACGGCTTGCAACACTTGAAGTTAGCCATGCAACCAGTCCTCCCGGCACTGTAAACGTCAATATACCTAGTCAAGTAAACCCAGAGACCTATGCTACTCCCTGTGCCCACCCCAGTCCCCCAGTGAGAACTACCAGGCGGAAACTTCAAAGAGTAGGGAATAAACGCCTGGAAAAACCGCATGGACAGGATGACAACTGCCACACATGTGCTCTCACTGTTACTAAAATTGATACTGCCCTCGGGCGCAACAGCTGCAATAGATAGGTGCACTGCCAATGTGACAAAGAAGTGCCATATCAGCACTATAGCTTTATGGCACGTCATCCGTGCACGTGGTTTTGGTACATTTACCCGCAGTGCCGTCTGAGACCGTACCTAGCTCCAGGCTTACTTGGAGTAACCAATAAATCTGCAGTAATCGAAAGCAGGTATCCGTCCAAACCACTATCACAGAGGATATTCACTCTCAGATGATTTTGGCAATGGCCTACTGAAGTTCAAAAACCTGGGAGGTTCTAAGCCGAACAAAAGACTGCCTACACCAACGGCAACTGCACCCATCTCAAGCCTTGGAGCCATACCAGAAACAGCAACCAGCAAACAGCATAGACAATAGGTGAGAGTGGGGAAAAAATCTCGAAACACCCGTGAAAACGCACCTATTGGATCGGATAACATTGGCATCACTGACTGATCTGGCTCTATCATTCTGTTTAACGTTCCTGTCTGTGATGATAGCCTTCTGGAACATAAGGACAAGTTTGACGGGCAGTGGTGGGACTCCCTCTGTGTTATGCTAGGTCTGGGTGCTCTTGAGGTAAAACTGTATCGACCACACAGAGGCACCCACTCGTCCGCAGGGAAGCCTCCGCCGATGAGAGTGACTCTAGGCTTAACTAGAGACGCTGAAAAGTTCCTCTCACTGTCACACACCCTGGTCATCAACAGAACGTCCAACATTAGAGCTAGACCTGGCCGATCGTGGTGTCAAGAAAGACAACTCGAGAAGCAGCTGGTCCACTAAAACCCCCAACCATGGTCGTACATGGAATACCTGAAATGGTGACCGGTACCCCAGGTGAGAAGTACACACACGACGTCAAACAATGGGAGTGGTTATCGGCTCGGATGGAGCTGAGCAGGGTTGCAGCTGCGACAATTGGCAGACTACCACGCCCTTCGAATCTGACAGCCATGACCTCAGACTGGACCAATGGCTATCAACTTCGAATCCCTAGGAGTACTCACCAGAGTGCTGGAGACGTGGTACAAAGTCAAGAGCACCATAGGCGGTAACGTTCGCCGCTGTGAAAGCAGACCCAGAACACTGTGACAACAACAGACAACAGCTACGTCCTGTGCTGAAGCCACCGCAACCCTAGACCGAAACGTTGAGGGTCAGACCAGCAACCTCCACTCAACACTGAATGCCCCAGTCGACGAGGGAAAAAACTTAACCGGGTCAGTTCCATTAGAACTGACCAGTCAGTAGAAACCCCACATCCAAACCAGTGCCACTAGTTGACTCACAGACGTCTCACGTCACGAGAAGCACCTCCAAGTGTCTCTACAGCAACGTGAGAGGACCCCAAAGTGAAATGTGAGAGCTCCGATTCCTCTGTCTCGACCTCGCCCCGAAAATCATGATCCTGACAGAAACGTGGTTGTCACCAGACATAACTGACACAGAAGCTAACATGGATGACCTGATCCTGTTCAGGAGAGACAGAGAACATAGGGACCGAGTGGGGTTGCAGTATACGCGAACAAGTGGTTCAAAAGTGAGGAAACCACTGACACGGCACTGATAGAGCTGCCAGACTCTGGTGCCACTTCAAGGTCAAACACCAAATTCCCAGTCGGAGGAATCTATAGGTCCCCCAATAGCAATTTGGAACACAACCAAAACTACTCCAAGCAATATCCACAGTGTCAACTATGGGGTACTACCAGATTTTAATTGCTGGCGACTTCAGTGCTCCAACCCTCATCCTAGAGCAAGGTGGCACTACCCCGAGCCGGAAGTTCGACTGCAACCTGCTAAACGCCATCCAAATGGCTGGACTGCGGGAAAAAATCATCAACGACACCCGCCGGGGGTTAGGTGGTAGACCATCTAAACTAGGTTACCCACTGACTAGTGATCCCCTTCTGATTGAAAACGTCCAGGTACAAACCCCTCTTAAAAGTAGCGATCACGCCGTGGTAATGTTCGACCTGATGATTAGTGAAGAACCATCATGGAAGGCACCCCGCCCTTACCTATGTTACAACAAGGCAAATTAGGAAGGTATGAAAAAAGGCTTTCAACAGCTTCGTGGCCAGGGGACTGATGTTCCTCATCGATCGACCAGCACTGGGAACTGATAAAAGATATCATTAAGGCGGCCATCTCGCAAGAAGCCCCTTTGGCGGTAACAACAGCCGGAAAGCGAATGTCGTAGCTAAAACGGGGCACTGAGCGACTTCTAAAAGCCAGGAGAAGGGCATGGCACACATGCAGACTCTCCAGAGAACAGGACGACCTTGAAGCACACATGACTCTACGGATTCGAAGCAAAATAAGGGTGCAGGGAGACAGGAGGTCGTTCTAGTCCAACCTCGCCGAAAGGCTCGAAGTAAACCCTAAAAGCCCTTACCGATTCACGGCAAAACGAAAATCGATAAGCCAAGGAGCATGTGTCATAAAAGGTCCTAACGGAGAAAACCTCTCTGGACAGGAGATTGCTGAAATGCTGAGTACCACATTTGACACACGGCTCAACATTCCATCAAGAAAGTGAGCATACCAATTGCATGGCCAGCCCTCAACATCACCTGATGCTGCTGAGTTACATGAAATACAGATAACTCGCGCCATTGTTCTCGACAAGCTACCAAAGCTAAGCGCGGGAAAATCCCCAGGGTGCGACAACATCCGCCCATCTATGTTGAAAGAATGTGCAAGTACCCTAAGTGGCCCACTCTGCGACTTCTTCCAACACTCCTTGCACGAGTGAAAGCTCCCACGAGAGTGAAAACGGGCGATCCTTTCTGCCATCTTCAAAGGAGGGGACAGACAGAATCCCAACTGTTACAGACCCATAGCACTTCCACCAGCAATATCAAAAGTAATGGAAAGTGTGATGGACGACCGTATCAGGGAATATCTAGACATGAAGCGGGCACTCGGTGACGCTCAATATGGCTTCCGGAAGGGTAGGTCCTGTGCCTCCAACCTCCTGGCGGACCATGTTCACTGAGCAGCATGCTGGGATCTCAGGGTCCCGGTCCACGCAATTTTTCTGGACTTCGCCAAAGCCTTTGACACCGTCTCATACACGATCCTAATACGTAAGATAGCCGGGTTGGGTGTTCGCAGCCAAGCGCTATGGTGGCTGCAGAACTACTTGGACAACAGGGGGTTCTGCACGAGAGTCAACAGGGTCTACTCAACTTGGAGAACATCCTCATCCGGTGTCTTACAAGGAGCAATCTTGGGCCCACTATTGTTCCTACTATTCGTAAATGACCTGCCGCAACATATCAGCTCCCCGATTCTCTTATACGCTAATGATGTCAACTTATGGAGGGCAATAACTTGCGAAGCGGAATCTATGGCATTACAGAAGGACCTCAGGACACTAGAGGAATGGAGAACTAATAACGAACTGGCATTTAATCTGGATAAGTGCCGGTCCATGTTCTTCCGCACTCCTGATCCCCAGAAAACATCCCACTATCCCTGTGGTTCATGTCTATCCCATACCACAGTAGAAAAAGACCTGGGTTTAACGGTGACGGAGAAACCGGACACCAGTTCCAACTACCTAGGTGATGTCTCAAAAGCATATGGGGTACTACACTTCGTGCGTGGATAACTGGGTGCCCTAACCCCAGAACTCATTCTGAAGCTCTACAAGACTTACATACGGCCCCACTTGGAGGTCCGTAACGTCTTCGCTCCACCACAGCTGAAAAGAGGTGCGAACCTACTGGAGAAAGTCGAGGCGAGCCACAAAAGGGGTTGTTGGAATGCAACAAAAAGCATGTGAGGGTAGACTGGAAGACTTAGGCCTATAATCTCTAAGCTATCGAAGGATACGTGGCGACTTATTAATGGCTTACAAAATAATGAGTAACCCAAGTCATCCAAACAGAGGAGTCCTACTGAGTGGCCACCATGGAGATCCTCGAAAAAACCCCAATAGAATAGCCCACCAAGGGTCAGAAATGCATGCGCGTCCAGTTTTTCTCCCTCCGAGTCTGTGGATACTGGAACGCACTACTAGCCGAGGTGGTCTCCGCCTTAGCTGTTGAAAGCTTAAAGAAGAGGCTAGACAGTCATGCAGAGACTCACGGTCTACCCACGCATAGCTGGAGCACGAAGTGATGTCAAGCCACCCCAGCCAGTTTTCTTTCTATTGTAACCATTTAAGCCCTTTTCACCCCTTCCAATTGCCACAAGAAAGCCTCACTTGCCTAAGTTCTTCATACCTTTGCACCACTATTCACTTTATTTGGGTGTAAGTAGATTACTCCACTAGCTCACTTCTCCTCTCTTATTTTACCCACACAAACACTTTCCAGGTTTTCTCGTCACTATCTCTAACCCTCTCTAGCTACCAGTCCTAACAACTGTCTGGTAACTGGACATCTGAAGAAGCCAACTGCATCACAATCCAAGGAAAACAAACCAACACTTAACTTCCTGTTCTGTAAATCAGAGCTATGGCAGACGAGTGGCTGGACCTACTGCATCGGAATAGGCCAAGGATCTGAAGCCGTTCCGCAAGACCAAGAAGCGAGCACAAAGAAATCAACTGGTTTACACAAACCCTTTGTTAAGAAATTGGATATTTAAGGTTGTTCTGTGACCTAACCACTAAGTTTGCTTGTCAAGGTTGAAGTGGCTTTGAGGTTAGTATGCTATCGTCTGCATTTTATGTATATCATGTTATACATCACCATCAGCACATGGTGTCTCCTCACTGATAATTCCTCTGTGCCCCCGGGCTAAATCAATCTCTTCAGTCAACATTCTCGTCTGGTCAAAAAGTCAAAGTCGGGACTAGCGTTTACTGGTAAATTAGATGTGGGGCCAGACGTAGTGCATATGGGGACAAACTTTGGTGGACTTTTTACAAGGGGCCAAACGTCAAGTCAAAAAGGTGGGATGTAAGGCCACCGTGTAAAATATCGAACCATGTACTGGACCAGTTGTTTAAGTTTAGGGCACCAACGAATACTAGTCCGATACAACTATCCTGCAGCCCACGATGCCAGATCACACACTGATCACACCTCCGCTTCCACCATCTAGTCCCAGGGCTAGCAAACAATGAACTTTATGGAAGCTGTCGAGATGACATACGAGGCACATGTCCAGGCACCCAAGCCGGTGTTTCCAAATGACTTCACTGATTGAATGACGATTTCCACCATCCCAAACACATTCTGTTGCACTTCAGAATTACCTGCATGTTGCTGCCACCGGGTGCGAGCAATCTTACAGGGACAACGATGATTGAATACACAGAGCCATCACGCACCCTCAGTTCAGAGAGACCAGTTTTTACTTGTGTAGAGCATAGCTACCCACACCGAAGCGTTATAAACCCAACCTTTTACAACCAGGCTAACGTTCCGGTGGAACTAAGGGTGGTTCAGATTGGCATATGCCACTCTGGCTTTCGATATGGGGTAAGAAATTGTACACCAGCACTTATACTACCCAGATACACGAACTTTTCGACTACTTCCAACGGTTCACTACCAAGGGTAATTGCACACACAGGCTCCTGTCAATCTCGCAAAAGTACTTTACGCTTCGATGATGCAAAGCACATACCAAAATTATGGACACTAGTCCGCAACTGATTAAATGCGATTTGAGTAGTCTGTACGACGACATCTACTCTAGTCGATTCAGATGTTAGGTTTCTATGCTTATGGTAATGAGCACTTTCATGGATCAGAACTTCAATAGGCTTAAATCATGGTTAAACACCCCGAAACAACCAATCATTCGATAAAAGTCTACTTAAGTCATACGTACCTTACTTCACTTAAATACCGGCCTAGATGTCGTTCTCAACCTTTGCAGACATGGTCACAATGGCAAAACATGTAACGGCTGATATAAATTGCTGTCAGTACTTAGCAACTTCTAGTGTTCAGTCATTAAATGCAAAGGAAACGAAACTGCTGTCGATCACAGGTAGATACATTCTCAGTATGACACACCTAAGCTTACTAAATTATAGTTATTACGTGGCATAATAGCAGATTACTTAGCTGAGGCTGTTATTTCGATATGTCTTTATTCATTTCAGATCTATTATGCCAAATATATTTAAGAAGTTTTCATATCATAATAAATTTTACTTATCGTTACTGTTATCGTCAGGGTCATATATTAAAAGTCAAATATGAATGGAGAATATTCTTTCCAATAACTTCTTATTAGGTTCTGCAGCTATAAAATCAATTTCGTTAACATATTAATAGCCAGAATTTACGGTGAACGCATTTAGGAATGCCATTACATTGGAATAATTATGAACGTACCTCTCTGGAGTCGCAGGAAATTCGCATTGTGGAATTCGATTTTCTAAGCTTTTAATCAACTTTATTCCTTTATGTTCGGAGTTTAATTGTGAAGTTTGATTGACATTCAACGAATTGTGACCTCAAGTCTTCAGGAATATCATGAATATCATGCACTTCATGATATTCCTGAAGACTTGAGATCACAATTCGTTGAATGTCAATCAAACTTCACAATTAAACTCCGAACATAAAAGAATAAAGTTGATGAAAAGCTTAGAAAATCGAATTCTACAATGCGAATTTCCTGCGAGTCCAGAGAGGTACGTTCATAATCATTTCAATGTAATCCTTGATAAATTACAACTGGAGGTACTATCTCTTGGACCTAAATTTGTGGCATTCGCAAGTTAATCAAATAGACACACATTTACAGTTTAAGAATTTCTTTGCACAAACGACTGATTTGGTTACCTCATCTGACACAGAGCTAGGAAGATCTAAATCTATCTCAGTAGATTGTTGCTAATCAGTATAGGAACAACAGGAATACGCCTAAAAACATATTGACTAAAGAGTATCGTGAAGCTACGAAGCAGCTAAGAATGAACAAGAGCATAGTTATCACTAGACCTGATAAGGGCGCTGGTGTCGTCATTACAGACAAAGAAGATTGTGTTTGGAAAATGAACGCCATACTGGAAGACTAAATTTCAAAAGTTAGAACCATTAAAGACCCAACTGAAAAAAATAGAAAGGAATATAATCTCTACACTAAAGAAGCTTAAAGAAAAAGGCTTTATATCACCAGATATGTTTGATAATTCGAATCCCGTAGGTAGTACAATTCCTTGTATATATGGCTTCCAAAAATACGTACAACTGAAGTACCACTCCGCCTTATCCTAGATATGCCACACTCGCCGTACCATGGGATTGCAAAGTGGCTAGTAAACATGTTACAGCCTTTATGGAATGAACCAGTCAAATATTGTCAAGGATGCCTCCCAGTTTGTAAACAGAGTAAGCAACGCAAATGTTATGAATAAATGTATGGCATCTCTTGATGTGACATCTTTATTCACTAATGTTTCTCTCACCGAAACTGTGAGCTATATCTGAGAAAAGCTGGAAGAAAGGAAGATAAATACAGACATCCCTATTGAGAATTTAAGGGAATTGCTGGTCACGTGCACAGTGAATGTTCAATTCTTGCTCAGTAGCGAAATGTGCAAACAAATAGACGGTATAGCTATGGGATCCCCACCAGGCCCTTTATTTGCCGATATATTTTTATCTAAATTAGAAAACGGACCATTGAAGAATGACATTTGTATTGTCGGTATGTGGATGATACAACTCTGGCTTGAGACGTTATCAGGTATGGCTGTGAGTCGAAAGTAGTGGCGGTGATTCTGTAGCTTGCCTTCCTCTTCTGAGGAGTAATGAATGTTTCGTTTTGTATGTGTTTTATTTCACTGCCTTTTGAATCATGTTATTCTTGTTGTTTTTTTCCACTTATCCACTTCCCGTCTCTGTATGTCTGCATAATGTTATTTTGTGCGATACATTCCTTGGTGCCATTGATTACATCTGTGTTCTAATAAACAAATAAATAAGTTTAGATAACTTAGGTAGCTGCCTTGCTTTATTCCGCTTCGGATATCTCCCCTTTTAGTTGTGGTCATTTCTGACCAGTCTAAATCACCGATTATCCCAGTCTTCGAAAAAGGGATGAAATTCTCTTGTGACAGCTGCATGGGAATTCTCCTAACGAACAAACTAAGATTCTAGGTTTTATAATTATTAGGTGTCTAAGTGGAGCACCAAAACAGCCAACTCGAGGAAAGCAGGCAGGTGCCACACCTCACTGTGGTGGTATGGACCAGATATACATCCTACTCCAGGTTTTGTGACGTAGGTACACTTATGGTGAGTTGTGAGATAAGCTATGTAGGTCGAGTGTTGTTTTTCAATGATGCCCACTCTCTCTATACCTTTTCAATTTTATCGTAGATGCTTTTCTAAAGGCCTCCCTCTCGTCACCAGACCTCATAGGAATTGACCTAATCACCAGAGAATCCTTGGTAGATCTAGAAGACGCAGATTACATATTGTCAGTGTGAGCAGCCAGGAAGTGTCAGCTCCCTCAAACCTCTATCATCACTCACTGAGGCGATGACTGAAATGATCACCTATACTTCTACTAACTGCTGTCTACATACAGTTTAGAATGGGTTCTACCATTAGTTGAGTGGTGTTCTCTACTAGATACTGTCGACAGATATCATGGCGTTATTAGGTGACTCAAATGCGCTGGTTGGGTGATTAGGCTCAGAAGAGGGTCGTTTAGATGACCGAGGAGTATTAACGAGGTGTGCCTTCCCCAGATTTATGCAGATCACGACTTGTTTCTAGCCAACATCGAATTCCGACACAGCCATCACGGTTGTGCTATCTTGTGTCCTCCCTGTACCACTGAAGCCAGGACTGAAATAGATCACATTGGAGTTATCTACTGGCAATGTGAGTGTATTCAAGACTGGCATTTATTGTGGAGCACCTTCTGTGCTCTAATCACATTTTAGAGTGTGCTCAGTTGATCTTGCATCTTGGTGGGGATCAAAGTCGTCGTCTTAAATGGGGCGGTGTAAGCAGACTTGTCGTACCTGGCATTACAACTGGGTATTCAACCTCCAGAGGGTGAAGATGAGCTTTGACTGCATTTACCAGACACCATGAAAATGGTGAATAAAGCTTATTGTGGGTTTAAGGAACATCCCACTGAAAGACATGAAGTTTCTGCTAGGAGGTTGCAACTTCTCGGTACTTCTTGTCAGTTTATTGCGACTGACAGGGAATAGAGAGAGACATACGTAAACTTTTGTGTGAGAGACCATGCATAGCTTGTGTATGAACTGCATGGTTTTGTGTTTAGGATGCGCGAGTGAGATGGAAGCAGCAACTGCATTTGGTAGAAGTTTGAATATGTTCCAGCTCATTCATGCCACCAATATCGAGAAAACTACTGTCGTTGAGACGGTCTCTGAAGTCGGTGGTAAGCCGATCAGCAGCTTTCATCGACGCCAGGAATTCTGGTCGAAATACTTCGTGACGTACTTCAACTGGCTCACTGTTCAAGTAACGTGGATTGTAGATTTTTGTGCTCCATGGTCAGTTAACACTGACTCATCCGACAAAGCAGCAGTCTCGAAGTAACTTCAGGTTCTATGCGGCACCCGACCCAAACAAATTATCCAAGGTTGCTTTGAAGGATATATATGAGACCGTCGTCAGAGAACAGACTATATTGTTTGAGTGGTTATCTCAGAGTAAGCGTTCCATCACTCTAGAATAAAACTATTGTTGTACACACTTTCCGAGTTGGTCTACATAATATCTACAGACCTTTCTGGTATACTGGGGTTTTGACGGAAGAATCGCTCCACCAGCATAATTCATTGTGACGTGCGAACCCGACCACCACGTCAAGGTAGCAGTAATTGGTCAGGAACACTGGGTTTTTATATATTGTCTGACTTTACGATTCTTCTATAACTTTCCCAACGATAAGATCATGGAAACACCTCTGAAGGAGGTGAATGATTGCAGTATAGACCTGTTACCACACAAAAGATTTCTCTATTGCGAACGATATCGTTGTACTGTACGACAACGAACAGGCTACTAAAATCACATAATGTTAACAATCAGTGTCTAGAAGTATGGTATACGCTTTGCACTATCGAATTGCGAGTTGCTTCCGCAAGATTGGAAAAAGCCTGTACTTGCAGTCACCCTTGAGAGTGAACCGCTGAAAGTTGTCAAAACGTTTGTTTACCTATGTAGTATGAGTGCTGCCGGGAGCGTGATTGATGAGCTTTCCTACGGCATGTCGAATGTCAGAGTGGAATACGCTAATCTGTGCTATCTCTTGCGCCATCTTGATGTTACTTTGCAGTTACAGTTCGGTTATGCAACGCTTTTACGCTCGAATTTTTACTCTAAACATATGAAACGTGCCTTCACTGACCTGAGGATGACGTTGGCTCTGGATATTCCATCACCTTTGCATGCACAAGATTGCTCGCATCTGACAGAAACAACGTTCAAGCAATTTTTAAGTGAAGTGGCTCTTGTTTGGATGTGATGAAGATCGTCATTCATTCTCGGGACACCATCTTCAGTGGCTCAAACGTGTTACGCATATCGTTCCAGTGGCTCAGTTCTCCTGGAACTGTCTGGTAGCACCGAAATGGCGAATGTGTGACGTAGCTCTGTGAGATGAAGGGCAGTTGAACTAGGTTAGCATCTAAAGACCCCTCATGACTCCGTGGATTGGGTTCGAGAGATCGCACAGACCAGCGACTTATGACAGCATGTGGAGCTCAGAATCAAGACCAGTCGCGATCATGCTGCGGTTTTATTCTATTATCGAAAAGTGAAACAAAAATAGTGATTACTTCTTTTTCTGTATGTCTGAAACTGCTTCTCTAGAATCTTACTTCTAATTTTGCTTCCAATCTCTTTTTCGTTTCCTATGTCGTCATATTGTTTTGCTGTTTTGTACCATACGTCTCTTTATGGTCATATTGTACCAAGTCTATTTTCTAAATATAATAATAATAATTGCTATTATTATGAACAGTTTGTTTAGTCATTAAGAGTTACGCTATCCGATGATATTTTTTTTGTTTTACAGTTGTATTTAACACCTCGGTGCATTTGCAACTTACCATGAAAAACGAACAGAAATATTTTCCTATTTCAAAGTCCCAAAGTACTAAAACTGAAACACAGGTTTCATTCAGTTATTCAGAGGAAGTAGGTAGGTTTGTTGATATTTGCATCGTGAGTTAGATGCACCAAAAAAATTTTGACAGCCATGTGGGATTTTGAACAGTGTGATCCAAAACGCTGCTCCGGTCGTAAATTAGTTCGCTTGGGAATGACTAAATTATTGAGGTTAAATGAAAGTTTTTCGGGCATTGTACTGACGCCAACCGCAACATGCGTGTTATCTCCGGAGACTGACCGCCAGTTGATGCAAAATGCTGGTATTGCTGTTGTAGATTGTTCTTGGGCTCAATTGGAGCAAACCGGATTTAAGAAGGTGAGTTACACCCAGATATTATTAAAGTACTAGGTCTCAGCACGTATTTATTTATTGGTTTCCTATTTAAATTTGTTTTCTTAAGAATAAGTAATTGACATTTGATGTTATTAATCTGATCGTTTAGCACGAATGCACAATAATTAGGCGTGTTTGATAAATGATTCTATACAATAATTTCTAAAATTATGAAAATGCTTTATTCAGGGATTTTGACAAGTACCCGATTGTTCCATACCATAAGTAATCAGATGTCAATATGATCCCAAAAAGTTAAAAGTTAAAGATAATAAACGTCATTTAGATGCAGTCATTAAACAGTCGTCATAATAGATTACCATGAAGATGCGTCAATCCTTCTGTCACCCTTCGATAAAGTTCAAAACACTGACATACCTGAAAGCCCCGATACTTGCTTTATTCGTTGAACTGAAGGAGGCATTTGACTCTTTCAACTAAGAGGATGTTATGCTAGTGTCTGACTGGGTGTCAACGTAATACGGAGAGGGTATACTATGCAAATCAAAGCTTTATAGTCGAATTCAAGAACCCTTGTAAGAGCTTATTAGTCGTCATGTTAAGTAACGGCACCCAGCAGTGTCCTCCAAGGATGTTCAGTCACCATTCCTGTGTGGCTCTGTTATAGACGTGCTAACGGATATAACCATAGATGCCTTCAAATTTATGTGGATTGGCTTGCTTCTAAGAGTCTACCAGGTTAATTTGTAGTACACAAACATAGTGATGTTAAACGAAAATGCTGACAATATGCAGAGCCTTTTGAGTACCTTGAGCAGAAATCTGAGTATGTTTATCATGCATTTCGCACCCATCAAATGATAGATGATGCTTCAGGACTAGTCTGCAGCCGCTTCTAATTTAAGGTTAGGAAGTGGTGATAAAATTTGTTCACTAATTCAATCACTTCGGGAAGTGGTATGAGTACGAATGGGTTGGTTGCTGATGAAATCTCAGCTTACATTCAAATAGTCTACTTGGCGTTTGCCAACTTACGTCATCCCTCACACTAGCTAAATATCCAGTTACCAATTATAGGAAACAGTGAAATCTGTACGATTTTGTAGTTGCAAGAAGTGATCGTTAAGAGTTGAAGGCATGAAGAGTTTATAGATATTTTATCATAGGTGTTTTGGTAGCGTTGTTCACCTGTGGTGGAATCGCCGTGTAGGAACTACTAAGGTTAGTTTTAAGCACTAGGCTAGTCAACTGATGAAGTTGGGATCCTTCACCGACTAAAATGACTTGGTCGTGTGTTGTGTATTCCATACCGCCGCTTACCTTGACGTGCGATGTTAAATAATGTCAGGTTGGATTGGAGTTCAGATGAAGAACTGGCACTAGTTCAGGAAATCTACGATTGTTGGTCTGAGTCGCGAATAAAGGTTTAAACTTTCTAGATGGGTTCCTACTGACTATAAGAATCATTGGTTCCACACTTTTGGTAATATGGCGCACTGTTTTTTCACCTTCTAAGTCTTGAATATTTTTATTAACGTCCATCTATTTGTTCTGTAAACTTTCGTACACTTTCGTGTCCTTTAATATCACGTCTATCGACTCCTTTCTCTTATGCTGTTGTAACGTGTGGTAGCTTCAGCAGGCGCACTTATCTGCCAATATCTACGTTGGTTATTCTCTATGTCAGGTCACTACTTTGCTGCGAAAACTATTGAGTAAGAGAAACTACCCTTTTGTTACGGTTTAGTTGTCTAGCGCCAGAAATCAGGTGTCGGAGTCAAATTTTTAGTATTGGTTGTCGTTAAGGACCATTAAAAATATGAATGAAAACTCTGATAGAATTGGGGGTCCTTTAGCTTTTGCTGGTGATTTCTCCAGCAAGCTGTGTCTACAACTTTCAGCAGACTTGTGTCTACTAGGAAATCTGAATCTAAATCACTATTCTAAAGTTAGACTTTACTACCGGTCTATTCAAGCCACTCGCCGTAGAAGTCGATTATGTGCACTCAACCAACGATTAAACTGATGAAGCTATGAGTGGCACTTACTGGGAGGGTTCATGAGACTACCCGGCCACTTAGACCCTAGTATCTGAAACATGGTTTGAACCTGGGGCACTCTGATTTAAAGTTGGATTCTAAAATCAATGATCTAACTGTTGTTTGAGCAACTACCTAGAAAGTGTGATGTTCGTGTACATTATTACCAATTCACATTATATGTTTCTTAATGAGTTAAATAAAGCTAATTCAGCCATTTTAAGTATTTCAAATCGGAACTTAAATCGTATTTGTTGTCACTGTAATAAATTCATGTAGCCATGTGTATTTTAGTAGTACCTCTTCTCATATGCTTGTTATAATCACCTGTTCCTAAAGCTAAAATTTCATCATGGACGATTGTTGCCACTTCTGATCGCATCTAATCCAGTGAAATATGGAAAACCATTTCAGTTGTCATGTGTTGAAGCGCTTGCAGCAGGTCTTTTCATTTTGGGTGAAAAGGATCAAGCTAGCGAGCTGTTGGATAAGTTTTCTTGGGGTCATCAGTTCTTGACATTGAATGACCAACGGTTGCAGTTGTACTCGAAATGCTCTACAAATAAAGAAATCTTGAGCTTACAAGAACTCTTCCTGGCACAAATAACTCGTGTCGAGAATTCAAATTCAGGTATGCGATCATTTCGAATTCAATTTTAATCATAAGTCCTACCTCAATGTAGAATCGTATGCCGATGTGTATGCAGAATTAGATGAACAACTGGGTACTGATTCTTCAAGGTTTGTTTGTGATTGATTTTCGACTTACCTTCATTAGTTCCAAGTTTTCTAGTTCACCGGAAGATTGTGATGAGCAAGAAACAGACGATTGTTCATCAAGTAAGTTTTACTGTTCACAGCTTTGCTTGACTTTTTCTTTTGTGAATGAAAAGAAAAATAAGTTAGGATTGCATATCAAACTGTTTCTCGTCATGGCATTAGGTATAGTTTGTATTTGCGTAAGTTACAGCGTGTGTTTGAAATGAAATAATTCCAACATTTCTCATGGAAGTCTGGTTCGAGCTTCTTCAGGGAAATAATCAAAATCAAAACATGAAGGACATATAAATGAATCAAAAGTAGTGTATTTAATCTCCTTGTCCAATCCTCTTCGCATAGTTATTCAGTGTAAAATTGTATGCCTTTTGTTGGCTAGCGTGTGTGTATATGATACCATTCAATATTCTCCTTGACCGTGAATATCAGACGATGACACTCACACACACATACACACACACACACAATCTATACAAGAACAGACAATTTAACACTGAATGATTAGTTATCATATTTCAGAAAGACAGTGACTATACGAAGAGGATTAGACAAGGAGATTGAATACACGTCTTTGGATTCATTTATATGCCCTTCATATTTTAATTTTGATCATTTCCCTGACGAAGCTCGAACCAGACTTCCGTGCGAAATGTTGGAATTATTTCATTTCGAACACACACTGTAACTTACACTAATACAAACTGTATGTTATATCAACCTTTTACCCAGCGCCGAAAAGTTGCCATACTATTCGGTTAAATTTTGATCATAGTTCGTATAAAGTGTTTCTTGGTATGTTTGCCTTTGTTTATTGTTAAGTTAGCCAGGTCTTTTACGCTTTGTGTCGTTTCTCATAACTGTTACTCTTATATAAACGTTAAGTTCAGTTTTAGTTAGCACTTAAAATGAAATCGTCAATAAGATGGAAGTAAATTACTTGTTTTTCATCATAGAACATCATAAACTAACATCAGTTGGAGGAACATGGGAAACCTGGAAGGACTAAACAGCTGTTTCCCCGCGACATGGGATTCCTTAGCAGCGCGCACCCATGACCCTAAACTACCAGGGATCAAACCCGAAACCTTCAGGTTCTATGGCCAGAACGTTACAATTGAGCCACTGGGTCAGAATCCAATGGTCTGTATTTCTAACTCCTGTCAGTCCATGATCAATACCAACTTGAAAAATCACTAAATCCCCACAAACCCTCAAATTAAACTGATCTGTTGCTGATTGGTGACTAGCTTCGAGAGGTGATTCCAGAAGTTCCAACGAAAAGTCGTGACTCGTAGTCGTTAGGGAAAAATACTCAACGATGATAACATTGGGTGATGTTCACGCTATGTCGTGAACTCACAAAAGTAATAATTTTTGGACGATTGGATTCCGACCCACTGGCTCGATGGTAACGTTTTGGCCACAGAATCTGAAGGTTCAGGGTTTGATCGCTGACTGTGTGGGGTTGTGGGGGCGCGCCGCTAAGGAGTCCCATGCCAGGACGAAACAGCTGTTCAGTTCTTCCAGGTTTCCAATGTTACTCTAACTGGTATCAGTCTATGATGAATACCAACTTGAAAAATCATTAAATCCCCACAAAACCCCAAATTGAATTAGTTGTGTTTTAGTACTTATCAGGCCAGTTCACTATCATTTCAATAGAAAATAAGTTCCTAATATTGCGTTTAGCTGTATCCAAGGCACTTAATTTTTTAGAGTAATTCCAACTTACTGTAACTTATACTTGATTTTATGCTTCCGTTTTATCTTTCATTGTTTAATGCTTAAGGCATAGGTCAAACCAGCCGATCGGGATCACGTAGATTGTCGAAAGATAGGAATCTAGCTAAATATAGCATGACAGACCCAAATAAAATTAATAATTCGGAAAAATGCTCGGCTACTGCAATGCATACATTTACACACAACCTCACAATAGGGTAGAATAAAGCCATTATACCTAAGTTGAATATAATTAGGTGGAGAGTGAGGTTGATTACTGAATCTTTGTTCATCGAATCAACACCCAATCAACATATGTAATAGGAATGATACAACATCTTTTGCAAAGATATGTAGTTTTTACTACCAATAAAAACGAAGAATATTAGGTGATAGGATTATAAAAGTTAGATGTCGAAAGCTATGTGACGACATTGATATGATAATGAGCAATGATTAATGCTTGAAACGTCATAAAGTAAATAATACTGTGCTATATCAAATCGACAAATCTAATATAGAATTGTAATTGACTTGGTTGTGGCAATCAGTGGAATCGAGGATGCGCCTTTCGTCCTACTTAGGACTCGCTGACTGGTTGTGACTGCACCCCAGTGAGACTCGAACCTTGTACCCATCACTTCAAACATCAAAGAGTTAACCACAAGGTCAAGCATCAAGAAATAATAATAATATTTAATTAGCCTATTTTTATTGACCGTTATTTTGAATCGTATCTAAAGCTGCTTAGTTTCTGGCTGAAGTCACCAAAGTAATTGAAATCGCTTGTTAGAGATCGTGAAGGTAACATACTTAATGTGCCTACAACGTGTATTACAGAAATATGTATTATTTCCATTATTCCAACTATTCGGCATACTTAAAATCGCTTTTGTTATATATATATATAATTCATTGTGTCTGTTTTCTATAGCTATATTGTGTTTGATGCGTAACAGGCTTAACCAGCATACTCTTATACCGCGTTTTACATTCTGTCATTCAACCGGTCACATTAAAAATCAGGCGAGAAAACAAAGTGGTTTGCAATATAAACTTGACTATATAGAATATATCACTTCGGATATACACGTATTAGTCACTAAAATGTTCTCTGTCTGTGAGTGCTGATCGAATCCTGTCATATGGTCACCAGGCTAGTTGATTTGGCATCGCAGAGCATTTTAATGTGTATCAGTAATGCGAAATATCCATTTAGATTTGTTTATGGTTTACTAACTAGAATTGATATTTTACTTAATAGGGGCTCTGTAATTACTTAAAGAAACATGGTTTCCAACATACCGAAGGCGTTTCGGTCTTCTTATGCTCATATGCAAATATTTTTAGTAACATGTTAAAAATGGCTGGATCGCATTGTGCAGTGTTCGTAACAACTCAATATCAATAGTTTTGAAACGATTATATAATGTCAGATTTATTTTAGGATATCTATGAAGTTTTCCCACCATTTTTATGCAGAATAGTAATAGTAAATTAGTAACTTAGTGTGTGACGTTTTTTACGTTTAAGACAGTTTGATATGAAATGGAAATGGAATGGGAATATCAACACATCGCGTTGAAGATATATCCATTTATCGAGTACAAGATTAAATAGGGCGCATATGTTAGATTACTTTTTACGGTAACCACCAGATCTTGTTAACTTTATTCTTCAGCTTATTAAACAGTAATTATTGATAGTAGTTAAGGAGTATGATTTTATCGCTAGATTAATATTGAAAGCTAATGTGAACTTTTTCCTTTGAGACCTTTCTTGGGTTAATAGTCAAATATTCAACGTCCATGAAAATGTGAATATTTATGCTGTGAAGTATATTATTATTATTATTATTATTATTATTATTATTATTATTATTATTTGTCCCTTGAGTTCCTATTGGAACACAGGGCTTCAGTAGCACGTCTCCAATGCGCTCTGTTCTCTGAAATCTTTTGAACCTGGCTCCGCGACTGCCCACAACCTCTCATTTCATCCTCGCATGATCTCCTCCATGTCACCCTCGCCACCGACGCCCAACTCGTCGCTTCCCATCTGGGCTCCACTCGACAACCTGGACTGGCGCGTGATGTCCCCAGTCGGCCTTCTCAGTGTATGCCCAACCAAATCCATCTCCACTTCCTTCAACTGCATATTTGTTGAGCGATAGGTTCTTGGTCGGTTCGTTCCCAGAGTTCCTTGTTGCTTATTCTTATCATTCTGGCCATCTGATCTTCAGTAACGAGCCAGCGTAGGCAGTTGTTGATAAATATCTGTAGTTTGTCCCGACCGATAAACAACAAAACCACTACGAGTTCTGCTGGACAACGAAAACACCAAAGCCGTGTTCAGTGAGAAGTTGGCTAGGCAGTTATCGGAACAAAAGACTGTCACTCATCCAGAAGAAGCTTGGTGCCATCTTCAGTCTACTGTAAAAGCAGCACTGGAGACTGTAGCCGACTCCAAGATAATGGCTAAAAAGAGCCAGTGGATATCAGCAGCTTCTTCCAAACTAATGGATGCACGTGAATGCATCCCTGCAGGCTCTGAGTACAATGAAGAGCGAGCGCAACTTAAAAATAAACTGACGAAAAGTCTGCGCAACGATCGTGAACAGTGGTGGGCAGCAAAGGCTAAAGAGATGGAAAAGGCAGCGGCGATCGGTAACAGTAGACAGTTATTTAGACTTATTAAGGAGACTGGGGGGAAATGGTCAACAACAGTTAGTGAGGTTATAGCGGAGAAGGACGGATCGGCGATTCACTCGCAGGGAAGGCGACTGGGACGATGGGCAGAACACTTTGAGGAACAGTTTAACTGGCCTCCAGCCACCATTGCGCTGCCCGCTATCCAGTCGGACCCTGAATGGGACATAGAGACAGGTCCCCCAACACTAGAAGAAGTCGAGAAAGCGGTAGGTAGCCTGAAACGGGGAAGGGCAGCAGGACCAGACGGACTACCTGCTGAGGTATACAAGAATGGTGGTAGAGTTCTCTTAGTCAGGCTAACGGAAGTGTTAGCCAGTATATGGGAATCAAATACGATCCCCTCCGACTGGTCTAAGTCACTGATCATCCCAGTCTTCAAGAAAGGCGAGAAGTCCTCTTGTGATAACCACAGAGGAATCAGCCTGACAAACATAGTGTCTAAGATCCTAAGTTCTATAATTCTCCGACGCCTGAGTGGAGCTCGGGAACAGCAAGCCCGAGAAAACCAGGCAGGCTTTAGACCTGGCCGTGGATGTATCGACCAAATATTCACACTGCGCCAGGTCCTGGAACATAGGCATGCTTACAGACGCCCGACAATAGCTGTATTTCTCGACCTGAAGGCGGCATTTGACTCCGTTGATCGAGAAGTCTTATGGCAGTGTCTGTCACTGAAAGGCGTGCCTAGTAAGTACATCACCTTATTGAAAGCTCTCTACTCGAACACTTGTGGGCATGTTAGAGCCTATGGTGAGTTGTCCAGGGAGCTATACTCATCAAGTGGTGTCCGTCAAGGATGCCCACTATCCCCATTCTTATTTAATTTTATCATAGATATTCTTATGGAGGTTTCCCTCTCGTCACCTAATTACAAAGACGTTGACCGGACCACAGGTGAATTTTCCTTAGATCTAGAATATGCAGATGACATAGTCCTGTTAGGTGAAGACGCTGACAAGATGCAGAGTCTTCTGAACACTTTGAGTGGGAATTTGAGAATGTTTGGGATGCGATTTTCACCACCCAAATGCAAATTTTTGCTCCAGGACTGGTCTTCAGCGGTACCGCGGTTAACAATAGAGAGTGAAGTGGTTGAGTGTGTTGACCACTTCACTTACCTGGGAAGTAGGATCAACTCCGGTGGGTTAGTTGCCGATGAGATTTCTGCACGGATACAAAAGGCTCGATTGGCTTTTGCCAATTTGCGCCACCTATGGCGCCGCCGTGATATTCGTTTGTCTATTAAGGGTCGCGTGTACTGCACAGCAGTCCGCTCTGTTCTACTGTATGGCTGTGAAACATGGCCATTGAAAGTGGAAGACATGAGAAGGTTACAGGTATTTGACCACCGTTGCCTTCGTAGTATAGGACGTATTCCGTGGTGTCACCATGTGAGTAATGCAGAAGTTAGGTGTAGAGTTTTAGGGAGAAGAGGTAAGTCAGTCGACGAGGTTGTGAACCTTCATCGACTGAGATGGTTGGGACACGTACTACGTATGCCTAGTCACCGATTGCCTCGTCACACAATGTTGGCTGAGGTGGGTTCAGGCTGGAAAAAGGCCCGAGGTGGCCAGACTAAAACATGGCACCAATGTATGAAGTCTCTGACTGTTGGTTTAAGCCATGTAGGACGATGCAGACTAGGTGGTTGGGGTCCACGGGACAAGAGGAACCAGTGGTTGGAGACCCTAGGTGATATGGCTCAGAACCGAAGTCAGTGGCGCAGATGTATACACACATTATCCTCATCTTAACAACGCTATACCGAATCTCACTATTTTGTCACTCCTCTTTCCTTTCTTCTCATACTTTATATTTCTTTTGACTGCATTCACTTATCTTCATCCTTCACCTCACTACCTTTTTACTTGATGTGCTGATATGAGGTGTGGCAACTCGGACCGTTACGCAGTAATGCCTGGTCCTATGTTGATAATGATGATGATGATGATCTGTAGTTTGTTGGGAATGCCTTTCGTAACGCGCCAAGTCTCTGAGCCATACACAAGCACTGACTTGTCTGACGTTGGTGATGAAAATCCGGATCTTGTTCCACATGCTGAGTGCAGAAGATCTCCACACTGATTTCAGGTTAATGAACACCTATCTTGCTTTTCCAATTCTGACTTTGACATCCTCGTCTGTGCCTGTGCCGCCGCCTGTAGTTGAAACAGTGCTGCTTATATATGTGAAGGAGGCTACTTCCTTTAAGTTTCTCCCGTTGATGGTGATTGGAGTTTGTTGTTGTTTGGGTATCTTCATCACTTCTGTCTTCTCTATATTCACTTGAAGTCCAGTCTTCGCTGTCTCTTCTGTCAACTTGTTAGTTTTTGCCTGTAGATCTTCTAGTTTGTGAGACAAGACATTAGACACAAGTCATCGTTGGCGAAATCCAAGTCTTCTAGGTACTTTTCTGCAGTCCAGTGTATCCCCCTCTTCTCGCTCCCCACTGTTTGTTGTATGATCCAGTCGACCACAATCAGGAATATCATGGGGGATAGTAGGTGGCAACCTTGTTTCACTCCTGTCTTCACTTCAAAAGCATCACTGAGCTTCCCATTGTGAATTACTTGGCATGTGGCTTCTTCGTATAGTTGTTGAATGAGGCTGATGAAGGTTTGTAGTCTTCCGTAGTATTGAAGCAGTTTCCAAATTACTTCTCGGTCGACGCTGTCAAAGGCCTTCTCAAAGTCGATGAAGTTGAGGTGTAGAGTTGACTGCCATTCTATAATCTCTTCTATGAATATGCAAAGCGTTGCCATTTGGTCCTCACATGATTTGTACTTCCTGAAGACAGCCAGCCAGATTGTCCCGGTGGTAGTTTTGAATCCAGTGCATCCTTCAACCTCTCCAGGATGATGCGGCTTAATATTATGCTTGCTTTGGGTGGACAGGAGAGTGATTCCACGCCAGTGCTTATTATATGCATATTAATTAATTATTATCTTTCTCTGTCGTTATTATTATTACTATTTCTGTCTATCCTTTGGAGCCGTTGGTGATAATGATGAGCTTAGTAACTGTGATTCTCCAGTGGAAGAAGATGAAGAAATGAAAAATATTTTAACCAAACAAATGGATACCTTAGTTAGTTCATTCGAACGAAGAAAACTTTTCTCAGAAGTTGGCAAGAATTGGGATCGTTTTTATAATCGTAATGGTGTTCGATTTTTTAAGGTATGTGTTCTGTAGTTCATTTTTTTCGTTTGTATTATATTGTCGTTATTGCTTATGGGAATTAATAACAACCGGTGCTTACACAACCCAATTCGTCGTAAAATTTGTATCGACACTACAGTAACTAACTAAACTTTCTATCTCAAGACCTCTGTTACAAATAAATGTGAGAGCAAACTGATTCCGGGGTTCTATTCCACTTTGTTTTGGTGAATTAGATGATATCGTCAGTCGTTAGGTAATATGTACGATACTGAGTTAAGTACATAAACCTGTTTATATTCTTCAAACTTGCTTTAATTGTGGAGATATGGGCCACTGGACTACTCACGTAGCTGTCAACGAATGCATCACACGTTCTAACCCAGCTCCACCGTCAGTTTAGACGACTGAGGTAGTGTGACAAATCCCCAAAACAAGTGTGACTCAACCTTATACGTAAACACTTGTTTTGCGTTGAGTTGCTTCATATTTTAATCAACTGAGTTTACTTAATCATGATCAGCCGTTAATAGTTTGGATTGTATATGCAGATGACGGGTTAAACGAAATCATTGTTTTGATGGTGTTGTGTTTTCTGGGCTGAATTATTTGATCGTGGGCTGAATTATCATTCTAGACTTCTTTCTGAAGTTTTTGCTACAAATATTCTCCATCATTCCGAGATCATTGTTAACCTTTCAGCTTCATTGGTCCGTACATCAAGGTTTTGATTTTTTTAAAAATATCTTATTGATAGTAGAGTTATGGTCTGAATTGATTTATCCAGCGGATAAACAATACACTCAAGTCTGTTAAAAAAGTAAGCCTGAGAGAAATTAATGTTGGGTATGCACCATTGATGCAGTGCTATGCCATACACTGTCTACGGCAAATCTTGGTAATTTTTTGATTTATATGTTAATTTGCAAAGAAGGCATCCAAATAAACGATCCATAAAAAAGCTTAACAAGTACGTTGTGTTCGGTATCCATTTTAATATGTAATTAAAGAGCTGGAAGAAATTAAATGGTAGTGTAGTGGGCGTTGCTGATAACAACGAATATAAGTAGTATATATCGAGAGGGTGGCAGGAATCATAGGGAATTACTGGCAGTGGGTAAGGTTTCTGCAAAGAGCAACGCAGGGGATAACACAGGCGTATTACAGGGGATGCTGCTGATAAGAGTGTATGAAGAGCAGGTCAAGAGCAAATCAACACAGGAACAGAGAAGGAAACGAAGACATTTGCAAATGGCTGGGTTAGTGCAAGGAGTACCATATGTAAGCACTACCATTCAAATTGTTCGTAATAAGCACTCTGTCGTCGAGTTGTCTTCTATCCCTTTAGTAGCATACATTATTAATAGCGGAACTATTCACTAATATAAACAACATAATTATGTATTAGTCTCAACGATGGATAGTGATTAGTAGTGGGATCTTGGACGGACATTTTGTTTTATTTAGGACTTGTGAGATAGACGTACCTGTCTCCTAGTCAGAGATGTTATTCCCACTAAAGCTAAAAACCCGGAATCAATTGCTTCAAACGCCAAAGCATAACAACATGTATGTTGTTTATACATTTTAATAACTTGTGACAAATTTTGATGTAGTATTATTAAATTTCGATACAATATTCCCTTGGTTTGTATTAGTTACATCCATGTTCATCCAGTGTTATATGAACTGGAGAATGATTTCGCATCAGAAACTATTAACAGATTATTAATTTTCCCGTACATTGTCCTATAATATATGCTCACTTGGACGCTGAATATTTTTATTTGGAACATTGAACGCCATTGTAAACTGACATGTTTTTCGTTTCATCTGGTTTACTCAAGATATATATTTTTTAAATTCATATTCAGGATCGTCATTGGACAACGCGAGAATTCGCAGAGCTTTCCTGTTTAAGTAATCATACACTAAAGTCTCTTTTGGAAGTTGGCTGTGGTGTTGGGAATTTCCTAGTTCCTCTTATAGAAAGCATGATATCTAGTTCAGAAACGGATGTTCATATTTCAGAAGGATCTAATTGTACTGGAAACAGAAACGGTTAGTGAATACGTTTTTTGTAACATGAACTGAAGACTACTCATTTGTATGATTATTCTTTTTATTCGAAAGTTAATTAAGTAGGTTGTGTTATGGGAATGCCTTGTGTACTTAATAGTCTGCTGGTATACTGTTATTTGTTTGGAGTGAACAGTTTCATTGGGCCTAAAATAAACAAACCTCTGTTTCGTGTATGACCAACTCTGAGTACCTCAAACTACTAGCTATTCCTTCTGTCGACTACTGCAAGGAACCCAGTTTTCAGCGCTCTCTTGGCCTCCTTCCACTCGACAGTTCTTTACGAATGCATTCCTTCTTATTGACCAGTCATTCGTATTTCGAATCACTTTCTGTGAATGTTATGGTTCACATGGATCAGTGAGTGTTTGTAAATGACCCCTAGGCTTCATTGTTCGTTCGGATTTACTAACGTACAATTGAAGTATGTTTATATCATAGTCTAGATCACTTATTTGGACACAATCTTATTAAGTACTCCCTACTATGGACACTCTTGTTGGTTTATAGTTCACGACATTCCTGTTTTTATAATTTCTGCTATTAGTATTGGTTTTATATAGCAGCATAGCAATAATATTTGTCATGAAATAGTAGTTTGAGCTATCCTAGTTTTGAATATAAGCTGTGTGCAATCTCGCATAACCGCTTAGAAATTGTCCTATACTTCTTACTTTGTGGAGTGTCTACTGATTTCTATAGTTTTGTTTATTATAGACACTTGCATTCCCGTTTTGTCTACTCCTAGTCGAATTAAAAGTGAGATAAATTAATCTTTTTTTCGTTTACGTATTTTTCTTGCAAAATTTTGTCTCAACGAAGTGATCTGCTTTTGCGGGGACAATCCGTTTACCATTTGGGAATGGTTCGAGATTTTTCATGAATTTAGCCTTTCTGTATTGAATTTGTTAACTTCCAACGGCTTTTTATTTTGTATAATCAATCGAGTAACCGTTATTCGTACATATTGATTATTAGTGGTTTGCTTCATATAATGCCTCATTTTTCCTGTGTAACTCTAATTCAGCAATAAAATACCCAATAAACTGACGTCATTTTGTGTTTGGAAGTCAATTCAGGCTGGAAAAAGGCTCGAAGCGGCCAGACTAAAACATGGCACCAATGTATGAAGTCTTTGACTGTTAATTTGAGCCATGTGGGGGGATGCACACTAGCCGGTTGGGGTCCGCAGGACAAGAGGAGCCAGTGGTTGGAGACTATAGGCGATATAGCTCAGAATTAATGTCAGTGGTGCAGACGTATACACACTCTATCTTGATCTTGGCGTTGTACCGAATCTCACCATTTTCTCATTCTTCCTTTCTCTCTTTTAGTACTTTATATTTATTTTGACTGAATTTTCTTTTCTTCATCTTCCACTTCACTGCCTTTTTACTTGATCTACTGATATGAGCTGTGGCAACTTGGACCGATACGCAGTAATGCCTGCTCCTATGTTGATTTGGGCGGATGGTATTTAGAAGTCAAAGGTAGTAACAGCTATATGTTAACATTCTACCACTGTGCAGAACTAATTACGAATCTATTTTCGGTGCAAAACTTCCGATATTGGTTTAGAAATCCTTCAAAGCATCTTAATTTATTAGGCCAACAATACTGCGCATCATTCTAATGTACTTTTATATAAGAAGTTTTTATTCCATATCAGATTTGTTTATTTGATATCGCCACTACACGGTGATACAGTATTATTTACTTGATGACGTTTCGAGCATTAATTATTGCTCGTAATCATATCACCGTAATCATACTCCTTTCGATGTATGATTTTGATAGTCCTGTCACCTCTTATTCTTCGCTTTTTTTGGTGGTAAGTTTTTCACATCTCTGGTATAAGTGCTGTGTCATTCCTATTACTTGTGTTGGGTTTAGATTCGGTGAGCAAAGCTTCAAGTTATAGGAGAAATTATATAGACAAAAAGAAGGAGTAGCAAAGGGATCTTCAACATCCCCAGTCATTAGCAGATATAGTTATGGATAGTTGGGAAGATATGACTTTTCGAACTTATGACATTGCACCTAAGATATGGTGGCGATATTTGGATGACACATTTACTGTGTTGAAATCGGAACATGTCGACAGTTTCCGTACAAATATAGACTTAGTAGTGGATGCAATCTAATTCACTTACGAGGTAGGAAATGAACAAGGAGAATTACCCATGTTGGATTGCAGAATAAAAAGAAGGACAGACGGAGGTTTGGATACTATCGTCTACAGGAAACCGACACATTCTGACAGGTATCTGAACTTGAGGTCTTTTCATCCAGTGTCAGTTAAAGCGGGTTTAGTCAAGTGTCTAAAGGATAGAGCTGAAAAACTCAATGGATTGTAACACATAAAAGATCCCATTAGATATATATTGTATTTGTGTAAGTCACAGAGGGTTTGAAATTAAATAATTCCAACGTTTCGCACGGAAGTCATAAGAGATGCGTTAGTAATTAGTAATTATCCTCCAGAGTTTATTAAAAAATTCTCAGGAAAACATAAAAAACAAAATCATAACAATAATATGAATACAAATAATGGCTACAACACGAGTAGAAATAAGTTCAAAGCTTCTATTGGGTTATCATATAATGAAGGGACATCAGAAACTTTACTTAGGATCCTCAACAATGCTGGAATTAGGGTGGCATTTAAACCTACAAACTCATTCAGAGATAAGCTTGCTTAAGGATTCGATACAACCAATTAAGAAAAATAATCTAATCTACCGAATTCCGTGTAATGACTGCGAGGTCAAGTGCATAGGTCAAACTAGCCGATCGGGATCATTTAGAGTGTCGAAAGATAGGAATCTAGCTAAATATAGGATGACAGACCAAAATAAAATTAATAATTCGGAAAAATGCTCGGCTACTGCAATGCATACATTTACACACAACCACACAATAGGGTAGAATAAAGCCATTATACCTCAGTTGAATATAATTAGGTGGAGAGTGAGGTTGATTACTGAATCTTTGTTCATCGAATCAACACCCAATCAACATATGTAATAGGAATGATACAACACCTTTAGTAAAGATATGTAATTTTTACTACCAATAAAAACGAAGAATATTAGGTGATAGGATTATAAAAGTCAGATGTCGAAAGCTATGTGACGACATTGATATGATAATGAGCAATGATTAATGCTTGAAACGTCATAAAGTAAATAATACTGTGTTATATCAAATCGACAAATCTAACATAGAATTAAGTTCTACCACAGTGCTTATATATTATATTAAGAAGCTTTTATTATCATTTGACTATCAGAGATGTCCGTAGTTTGGCAGACTAGTATTTATACTGGGTTATGATTGAAGGTGAAATACAAGTTTAGAAATACCGTTGGTTATTCACCTCGCAAATCTTTTAACGCGCCATAAGTTTCGAATCTATTGTTGACTGGACTTGATTTCACCTGGCACTGACTAGTCATCAAATAAATAAAAAATACTAATTCGCTGTACTTTTGTTGTGTATACTTGTTCACACGATGTAAGGGTAAAAGGTGGGCACGCACTGTAGTATATCGTCATGTTATACTGTTATGATCAGTAATTTGCGCTCGAAGTACCATCTAGTAAATAAAACTGTACCAGTGTGTGTTATGTCTAATAAGAAAATTTAATTTATCCATGATCACTTGTAAAATTGTATTCTCACTTTAACCGACGCTTGTAATCTCAAATAGAATAGCGTGAAAGTTTTTACTACTCACTGATTTCTCAGAAATACATTCATCAAAAAAAGTTTAGCATATGAACTGGTGTGACAAATCTTATTCGGGTATTCATTAGTTTCTTATCGAAATGCAGAAAATCACATCTTGGTTACACTTGAGTAGTACATGAACTAAGTCATAACTGTTTGTGAAGAAAACATTGACACAGACACTTGTATGTGATATTAGTTGCTTTCTAGATGCATCATGCCTTTGTATCGAACTTCTGATGTATTTTTTTTATTTTATTTTGTGTATTCTCAAGTTAAATTTATTTTGTAGTTGGTTCACTTGGAGTACGTGTAGGAAGGTTTTTGGAGCTAAATATTCAGATTGCTACTGCACAAAGAGTATTTCATTACACCATGGAACAACAAATCTGTGCATCGCTACATTATCTTGTTTGGTTTACTAGTTACGACCCAGTTACAAATTTTTATTATCTTTTACCTTGGAAAAAAATTACATTTCTTCAAGTGTATGATTTTTTAAGTTTTGTCACTTATAAGTCGTGTTTTTTTTTTAACGACTCTCCAGATTTGACTTATCTCCTTTTGTTTTGTTGTATACACTGTAGAAATTCCACATTTCTATGCGTGTGACGTTTCTCAACGTGCGGTCAATATGTTAAATGAACGTGTCAAATCGTTGCCAGTTATATGCGATGCCTTCGTTTGTGATATAACCGAGCCTGATTCATTGAAAACCTCTCTGTCATTTTTGAATTCCATCAAGAGTGTGGAGTTCAGTGACAAAGAACATGGTGTTGACTTAGCTACGTTGATATTTGTACTGTCTGCACTGAATCCACAAGAAATGCTTACCTGTATTCGCAATGTTTCAAGGTTGGTTTTTTTATCATGTTTAAACAGATTAGTTCTTAATTGTTTCTTGACAAAAATGTCCACAGAAACGCTCCTGGATCAATTTTCTGTGTGCGCACCTCTGTGTTATTGGTTGCAGAAAGCACAGAACCGAGGTTGATATATACTTATCATTAATATATATAAAGTTCCACCACAACCTTGACTGGTTGCTAGATTTTAGGGAACGCTTTAAATGGTATAATGTTCATTGCAGGGTCATTTTGTACATATCACTGTTCTATTATTGTACTAACAAGTAACCTTTGCCTTTCTAAAGTTTCTTAAACAGTGTACTGTTATTGATTTGGGAAATTTATCCAGCATCATGCCTTAATGTGTGACTGCGGAATTTCCTTGAGACTTCGGAGGAATTTAGTCAACTCGAATTGTTTTCGACAAATTTTGGCTTCTTTAGGGAACTAGAAAGCACGTTTTACATGTCCTAATAACTTTTACGCATCATCCATTCCCTTATTTGTGAGGTATGCTGCAAAGGTGACTAATAAATAATCCGAAGATTGATTATTCGGAATGTTGCTCTATTGCTAGTGACTGAAAGTTTTACTTTCATGTTACTGATCAGTTTTCTCCTTGTACAACACCCACCACTTTGGGCTAGTCTGATTTATGTATATGCTATCTTACTTCTCAATCGTTTTGATTGAAACATACATTCAATTAGTTACAATGAATGTTTTCCATATTTGACCGGGGCTAAGAAAATCATCTACGAAGTTGTTCGTTTTCCATTACCAACACTCAGCTTTTTGTACGCTAGCCTAGCTACGGTTTCAGTTAGTGATGGAGGCTAGTTGACGGCTGGATCTTAGACAAGTTGGAGCTGTTAATATAGCAACACAGTAAATATTTGAATGACTTTAAAGGCTACCCTAACAATGGTCAGCATAACCAATTAGGTTTCTCCATTTCAACTGGAAAGTCAGATTTTCATAAAGTAGAGAAGCTTAATTGGTTATTCTGATCGTTGCTAGGGTTGTCTTTAAAGACACTCTTAAAATTGATGTTGAAGCTTAATGGGGCGACTTTAAAGGCCACCCTAACAACAATCGAAATCACCAATTAGACTTCTCCATTTTGGCTGGAAAGGCAGATTTTTTCAAGATACAGAAGTCTAATTGGTTATTTCAGTTGTTGTTAGGGTGGCCTTTAAAGTCACTCTGCTTAATAACTAACTCAAAGGTTGATTCGTCTTTATCGAGCGACTTTAAAGGCCACCTGGCAACCACCATAATAACCAATCAAGTTCCGATATTTCTGCTAGAAAGGTAGTTTCTCAAACTATAAAAGCCCAATTAGCCATAATAGCACTTGCTAGAGTGGCTTTTAAAGTATCTCTCTTTTATCACCCTGCTTGTCTCCCATGCCACTATGCCATGTGTTGGTGGTATTGGGACATATTACCATGAGATTATAGGTATGACCTGGGTATAAATATTACGTTGAATTAAATGATCACGTCTCTATGCCAACCTATTTATGGTTAATGATCGAAAAGTGCATCTTTTGCTTGGTAAACTCGGTCTATCTGGGCTCGACAAGAACTGTAACTAAATGCCGCGTCAGAATCTATACGACCGAAGTCTACGTGATACTGTATTGCAAGATCTTGGCATCAAAATACTTTTGGGTTCAGAATAAGTAAACACTTAAATATTAGCTAAATAATCTGCTAAGGTGTATACCAGTGCCTTTAGTCTTGTTTTATTGCGTCGGTTTCCCCTATAGACGCCCGCCTTTTTGCATTTCTTTTGTGCTGATTGACGGTGGCATGCTCGAGTTTGTAGCTGAGCCGTTTGTAGCCGGATAAGTTATAACTTCTCTAAAAAATGTTTGGCCGCCAACAGAGATACACTACCCTTCTTAGCTTTCCTGTATCGTACGCATCTTCGTATTTGTTTTTTTTATCGGTACTTACACACAGGGAACTTGCTGATTAGTTTGGTACTGGTACATATTGATTTATGTAAGACTGGTCATGTGTTAGGCAACAGCAACACAACCACTCTTTTATAATACAACCAGGTCGTAGTACAGGTGATTCCGATCCAACCGACAGTTGTTCACAACGAAAACGTCCGGCTATTTTTCAGCAGCTTGTGGACACTTATCTAGTATTCTAGGAATAGTCTTTTCCTAGATGCCATCTTGATTGTAGCCAGTTCTTCTGTGGAGCTTAATAATAGAATAGAAATAGTCTAGGCGTGAATAAATAACAATGGGTTAAGAATATACACAAATTAGTGTCAATTTGACTACGGTCTGGGAAATACCTCAGACATATTTGATGCCTGTGGTAAACATGCAAACGTCAATGGTGTCCGTGCCATCAAACACATCAGACATACAAATGTGCCTTCTCTACAATCTTTTTTGTGTTTAATTAGTTATTACTCATCATTTGTTACTTTACTACACAACGTTTGGTCGCTAAATCACCTAGAAGTATAAAAGCTGGAACTTGTCAGAAGACTTTGAGGAAGATAGCGTTAAGTGTACTTATTATCTATTCACTTATATAAAACACAAACTTGATGGACCTTTGACATTAAGAGATGCATCATGCAAAGTAATATAACAAAATCAGGGAAATATGGAAGTGGTGATGACGGAATGGAACTAGGGAAGAGTATAGAAGCAAAATAAAATGAGGTAGGTATCAACGTTGACACAGATCGATGTATGTCGCTCTGGTCCTCGAAATGTGGTCGGAAATATCATCAGTCACATCTTCACTTGAACTGGAACAAATACCCAGGCACGCAAACTTTTCGACAACTTCTAATAGTCAGTGAAGGCAGAGGCTCCAGCTAATCTTGCATAAGCATCTCGTGCTTAAATGATACGAAGTACATACCATACTTATGGATATGATCGCCAACTGGTTTAGAGCAATTGAAGTATCCTGTATGTTGTCGCATACAATGATAATATTGTCTGCAGATTCAAGGTTAAGTGTTCAGAATTGTTTATTTTCTAAATCCTAAGTTAAGTTGATCGAAGTAACGACTATCGGGTTTTTTTGATTCTCATATATATGTAGCTGCGACAGGTTTACTTTTCATGGCTAATTCAAACTGACAAACTATTTCCCCAGGGAGTGTCTGGGATCAAATAAAATAATGAAATAATAATGATAATCGTAAATGATAATAGTGAAATAATTAAGGGAGATAACTAAAGGAAAATAAGTAGTAGTATAATAGTCGTTACACTCAGTTTATAGATGCATGCTTTTTTTTATTCAGTTCCTCAATTACACATAACCGTCACTTTTGTATATATATAAAAAGGATGTCAAAATTAATTGATTTTAGGTTGGAATTCATCATAGACTGACATCATTTAGAGGAATATTAGGAAACCTGGAAGGGCTGGGCAGCCGTTTCGTCCTAGTATGGGACTCCTCAACAGTGCGCATCCATGGCCCCACACTGCCAGGGATCGAACTCGGGACTATCAGGTTCCGTGGCCAGCACGTTACCATTGACCCATTGGGTCGGAATCCAGTGATCCACATATCCTACTTCTGTCAGTTCACGATATAGCACGAACTACATCAGATGTAGTAACTGTCCTCATGTTCGACTTGGTTGACTCCACTGGTCACGACCTTCTTATTGGAACTTCTGGAATCACCTCTTGAAGCTAGTTACCCATGTCGACCATTGGATTCCGATTCAGTGGCTCAAAGGTAACGTTCTAGACACGGAACCTGAACGACCTGGATTCGATTCCTGATGGTGTGGGGCCATGGGTGCTCACTGTTGAGGAGTTCCATGCCGGGACGAAACAGCCATCCAGTGCTCCCAGGTTTCGAATGTCCCTCCAAACGATGTCAGTCCATGATGATTTCCAACCTAAAATCAACTAATAAACCTTCACAAACCTCCAGATGTCAAAATTAGTTGACAGCTTTTCATAGTTGTTTTAAGTAGTGTTCAGCTATCCCTGTTAGTTTTAATTATCATGCAGTAGTATCTGATAATTGTATCTTTCAGCTAACTAACTATTTAAGTTAGTTATACATACTACATTGATGTGAAATATTAACTTTAAATACAGCATATGATATACGTTACCGTAAAAACACTTCAAGTTCTTTCCATAACTGTGTAGAATACAGATTCAAAGTAAATAATCGGTGGAGCCTATCCTCATCTGGTTGTCAGGTTTTGAGTTAATTTTCATTTCGCGACACATTGGTTGGCAAAGATGTTTGGAGTGTGCTTCAGTGTTTACTGAATATTATGTATAATTTGTTACCGACTACAGTGAAGTAAAAGTGTATATTCCCTGCCTGTTTCGAATGTATGTACAAAATCGTTAAAACAAGTAATTATAAATGTATAATTAAATTGACTAGCATATTGTTACAGATGAATATTTTGTGTTTAAAGAAATGTAAATATGAAATCCATATAAACCATTTGAGTGAACTTTCAGTCTATTTATATGTCTAAATACTGTTATCTTATCACTTAAAGTCAACTAACCTGTATAAAAGCATATTTTAATATAATCCGGTCTTCAGGAAGCTAAGACGAGATTTCTCCAGACTTTTCATTGCGTAAGCCACAGTTTCTTCAGCAGGACTTGACACTTATGTACATGGTATGGGTGAAGACATATCTGCATTCTGAGATTTCACGTTTGCAGTTGCCCTCCATGACACTTTGTCCAGATATAAAGCCATCTCAGATATTCTTTTAGATCCTTTTGGTTACCACCATGTAATCTGAATGTTTGATTAACCTATCTGGTAACGTTATTTTGTCATTACTTTCAACTAACTAAAGTATATTATGCATCGTTAAACTTTGTTACGTATCATTTGGTAGTAGTTCTGTCCTTATGAGAAAACTGGAGTTTTTTTTCTGTTGTTCGTTCATTCACTTCTTGTACGGAACGAAATACGTTTCAGATTCGTATAACAATGTTAGTTAGTGTGTTACAGTGTAATTTATTTTTATGTATTTCAGTGTCCTTTCACCTGGTGGACGGCTTCTTTTCCGCGATTATGGGCAATACGATCATGCTCAGTTAAGGTTTGGGAGAAAATCTCGTCTATTTGCTGATCGGCCATCATACGTTAGACAAGACGGAACACTGTCTTACTTTTTTACAAAGCAGGAACTAGCCGATTTATTTGCAAGCTGTGACTTGTCAATAATTCGCCTTCAATTTGTTCATAAAGAAACAAAAAATGCTGCCAAAGGTCTTTGTGTCAAACGGGTCTTCCTTCAGGCTGTTTGTGAGAAACGTGTTTCTTGACTCATTAAACTTGAAAATTTTATATGGTTGATAAGCAAGCACAACAATTTTGTACATAAACTCTGTGAATTAAATTTGATTTATAAACATGGAGCACTTTTTGTTTTTTCTCAAGTGAATATAATGGAGTGATTAACAACTGAAACACGTTACTGGAAGCAGCTTTAACAGCTTCTTTAGGGAAAAGCTGGCTCTCCGTAGATACGCTTAATGCAAGAATTTGCAGTGGCTTTTAGTCTAATATACTTACCACGGAACCATTTGCGGCACCCCAAGCAATATATTGACGACATGTGACGTAAAGCTCTCAGAAGTAAAAATGCAAATATTTTGTGCATGACAAACTTCTTTTCTGTTTATACTTGTTCGTCGGGTGTCATAGTGTTTGTAAGCCGCCGCAATCACCCTTAAAAGGCCCCCTTCAAGACACTCAGACATATTGATAAGGTGGTCACCATATTAAGGTCAGTGAGGGGAAATGGTGTAAGTATCTAACCGGCGTTTTTGAAAGACGACGAATCATCGTCAATGGCAGATACCCCAGTCTCTTTCCCATTTGAAGGAACTGCCAAGAAATCTAATTCAACAGGACACTTATCACACGCCAATGCAAAGACGGTATCAGATGGGAAGGTTCACTGACCGTAACGATACTCAGAAAGGATAGTATCTCGTTTTGTTGGTCTCTCAAAATATAACTATATTTGCTCTGTTAGTCGAATAATGTCACTACACCAAAAACAGCAAACTACAGCATGTAAAAAAGGATGGTCATTTGAAAAACAGCCTAATCATGACTAAAACCTGTAATTTGTCGTGGAGGTACAGTGGAAACTGTCAGACCTATCAACCATAGGGTTGTTATATGACGGCCAACTGCTGGTAAATCTTCTAGCTTTTGAATACGTTGCTTCAAGTAAGCATGGAGAAGAATATGCGCAAGCCTAATAGTGTTATTTCACCCAGGCTGCATGAGAATCTGGAGGAGGAGAGAAGTAAAATTTATGTGGCGGTGACCCAGCAAGTATGAAACATGTATTTACATTTAGCAATAAAACATTCGACAAAATATCTTTGAAATTAGAAAGTGGATGAACAAAGCCTCGAAAGTCATAAGGTTGGGAATAGTATACTGGACATCAAATTGATACGACTGTTGTACTCTAGCCGAAAAATAAAACTATTTGACTTCCATTCATAATGTACTGCAAGGTTGTCAAACTTCGATGTGAAGTTGTACGAGAGTGGGTGAAACCCATAGTTCTGTACTCACGGTAGAAAAGCAAGAACCAAATACCATGCATATGTACTTCTATCACCGCTAATAATAAGCACAACATAACAGCTATGCCAATGGAAGTATTATCTTCAAGTTCTTTTTTTCTAGGCAATAAGTATAATGCATATATGCAAATCCTGATCGTTTTATCAATGTGAAGACAATACTTCCGGATTTTCATCGTATCACTTTTTGCATACTTAATCTGTTGCCTATCCAAGAATAAACATCATTATTATTCTACAGCCTTAATTGAGTAATAACCAAGATAACTCGTAGTAACCTCACGTTTCTAGCCATCAATCCTTTTGATCAATAATCACTTTCCCCCAACTTGTAAGCTTAATAGCATGAAATATTGGAACGGGCTATGGCGTCCATGTAATATAGCATAATTCTTAAATCTACTCTCATTATTGATAGACGTGGGACGCCCTTTACTTTCCATTGCACTATATTTCAATGAACGCCGCATGCTGCACCATTGAATGTACAAAGAAGGGTAGATAATGTGATGATCATCGATTCCGTTGTCTTTTTCCTCGCCTATATTACAAGGTTTATTAAAATCCCTACACTAGCAAAATGCACAAGCATATCATGGGAGCAGACACGATAACCTATGCTTTGGTAGTAGTAGAAGTAGTAGCAGTAGTAGTAGTGTGAGTAGTAGTATTAGTGGAAGTTCTCGCATGCTGTTTCAATAATGAGAAAATAGCTGTTTGACGCTCACCTGGTTTTATTGCATGGCAGTCCTGAGGATAGATACGAATCAAACACATTAAAATTTATGTGTGTGCAACTATTTACAAAATTTTAAGCATACCTCATTTAACCTTGTATACTGTTGGAATAGAACCTCGCCTGGCTAACTAGTTCACTAGTTACTAGCCGGTCCTAAGCCCGGGTAAAAAGGGAAGGTTGGGCATAGGGCTAGCAACCCTACCCCGTAAAACAAATCTAACCGCTAAAGAAACTTCAAAGCACAAACAAAATATAAAAAATGAAAACACACTTATTCCCCGCTGGAATTGGAGAGGCGAAATGACGCCAGTTGGTGAAAGCCTGCCTTCGGGAAGCCAATTGGCCTATGTGTCTTCTCTCTCTCGATGAAAGCGAAAGTAAACGTGGGGACATGGAATGTCCGTACGATGTTTGAACCCAGTAAGGCAGCCCAGATTGCAAAGGAGATGAGAAGGTATCACATCGAAGTGCTTGGGATTTGCGAAAGCAGATGGAATGGGAGTGGACTCTCCAAACTGTCAACTGGAGAATCAATAATCTACTCCGGTCACCCAGACGACAACCACGAGCACACTGAGGGAGTGGCTATCATGATGTCCTCAAGAGCATCGAAGGCTCTCATGCAGTGGGAACCAATGTCCTCCAGGATCATGACAGCAAGATTCAACTCAAAAGGAAGGAAGGAAGGAAGGAAGGTCACAATCATACAATGCTATGCACCTACAAATAATGCAGAGCAAGAGAAAAAGGAGGATTTCTACAGACAACTTCAATCAACACTGGATAAGACCACACTGCAGTTGGTGATTTCAAAATTCTAATGGCGGGGCGACATGAATGCCAAACTGGGAGGGGACAACACGGGAAGAGAACTAACCATGGGTCGAGAGGCGCTGGGTGAAATGAATGAGAATGGAGAATTGTTTGCAGAATTCTGCGCATTCAACGATCTGGTAATTGGAGTCAGGCAGTGTGTTCAGGCACAAAGATATCCACAAAGCGACATGGATTTCACCAGATGGACACACTAAAAATCAAATCGACTTTATCTCAATCTCAAGAAAATGGAGACGCAGTCTACTTAACACAAAGTCAAGAAGAGGAGCAGATGTAGGTTCACACCACTCACTATCTAGTGCAAGGAACCTTCCAAATCAAGTTAAAAGCCTTCAAGGAAGCTGGTGATAGACCTCAATTCAAGTACAACACTCGGAAACTGAAGGATGAAACTACAAAGGAGATCTTCACAGCAGCCATCAAGACAAAATGGGAGATATCGAGGAACATCCCTGAAGAAACCTGTGTGGAAGAACACTGGAAGTCTTTGAAAGCTATGTGGAAAGAAACCTGCACAACAGTATTAGGAAGGAAGAAGGTGGAAGACAAGGAATGGATCTCGACGGATACCTGGAAGCTGATAGAGCATGGGGAGGAGGATGGTGAAACAGAAGATAAACCAGTGCAAGGATGCTCAACGACAAGAGGAACTGAGCACAATGTATAAAACACTGAACAAAGAAGTAAAGAAGAGTGCACGCAAAGACAAAAGACACTTCTACGAAACACTGGCAAGTGAAGCAGAACAGGCTGCAGGTAAGAGAGACCTGACGACATTGTATCAAATAACCAGGTTGCTATCAGGGAAGAGATCAATACAGATGAAACCAATAAAAGATGAAGGAGGAAATTTAATTACGAAAGAAGAGAAAGAAAGGAAACGATGGGCCGACCACTTCAAGAAGCTCTTGAATCGACCACCACCACCACCTGCACTTCGTCCAGAAATACCACCTGCAGCCGCTGAATTACAAGTGAACATAAATCCCCCAACGAAAATGGAAGTCCTGAACGCCATAAAGCTACTGAAATGCGGGAAAGCAGCAGGACCAGATGGAATACCGCCAGAAGCACTGAGAACAGATGCAGAGACAACAGCGGACATGCTCACACCACTATTGAAGAAGGTGTGGAAGGAAGAGAAGGTACCTGACGATTGGAAGAAGGGTTACCTTGTCAAACTGCCGAAGAAAGGAGACCTCAGTGCTTGCAAGAACTGGCGAGGAATCACTCTCCTGTCCACCCAAAGCAAGCAAAATATTAAGTCGCATCATCCTGGAGAGGCTTAAAGATGCACTGGATTCAAAACTGCGACCGAACAGGCAGGCTTCAGGAAGTACAAATCATGTGCAGACCAAATTGCAACGCTACACTACACATCATCATAGAACAGAGCATAGAATGGCAATCAGCTCTCTACCTCAACTTCATCGACTTTGAGAAGGCCTTTGACAGCGTCGACCGAGAAGTAATTTGGAAACTGCTTCAATACTACGGAGTACCGCAAACCTTTATCCGCCTCATTCAACAACTATATGAAGATGCCACATGCCAAGTAATTCACAATGGGAAGCTCAGTGATGCTTTTGAAGTGAAGACAGGAGTGAAACAAGGTTGCCTACTATCCCCCATGATATTCCTTATTGTGGTGGACTGGATCATGCAGCAAACAGTGGGCAGCGAGAAGAGGGGGATACGCTGGACGGCGGAAAAGAACCTAGAAGACTTGGATTTCGCCGATGACTTGTGCCTAATGTCACATAAACTTGGAGATCTACAGGCAAAAACTAACAAGTTGATAGAAGAGGTGAGGCAGCGAAGACGGGACTTCAAGTGAATATAGAGAAGACAGAAGTGATGAAGATACCGCACCACCACCATCAACAACAACAACAAACTCCAATCACCGTCAACGGGAGAAACTTAAAGGAAGTAACCTCCTTCACTTATCTAGGAAGCACTGTTTCAACTACAGGCGGGACGGACGAGGACGTCAAAGTCAGAATCGGAAAAGCAAGACAGGCGTTCATTAGCCTGAAACCAGTGTGGAGATCTCCTGCACTCAGCATGCGGAACAAGATGCGGATTTTCAACACCAACGTCAAGTCAGTGCTCCTGTATGGTTCAGAGACTTGGCGCGTCACGAAAGGCATTTCCAATAAACTACAGACATTCACCAACAACTGCTTACGCTCGTTACTGAAGATCAGATGGCCAGAAAGAATAAGCAA